CATACCACGAAGGTGACATTTAGAATGATAAAACATATAAAATTTGAAAAATTATAATGGGAAGATGAGGAGAAAAACTGAAACATGCTCCTGGTCTTAAAATTTTCTGGATGAGAAAGATTTTAAAAAGGCCAAGATTCACTCATGTATCTTTAAGAACATGGGACTTCAATAGAAGGAGCAATTCAAGTTTGTTGCTTTGTTTCATTTCTTTCTTCAGAATGCCTGTATTTTGTCTTAAGCCAAATGCCATTTGTTTGCCAATGCCATTATATTTGGGGGTCAGGCTGAGTATTCTGAGTGACAGTGATGATGTGCTAACTCTTGGCGTGGTGCTCTAATGTCTGTCACAACATGAAAAGTGTTCATGTAGCAGAGACACAGCAGAATCAAGGCAGGTCTGTGTATGTGATTGGTTGCCAGGGTTGGGGAAGATGTTTCCCTATCATTCAACTAAAGTTAAAAACTATTTATATCAAATACCTTTTAAAACATACTGTTAATGTTTCCTCTAATCCCCTGATGTACAGGTTGGGAAGGGATTCATTTTTTAAAAAGTGTCCCTATTGATATACAGTTCACATACTATCTAACTCACCCACTCAAAGTGTACAGATCAGTGTTTTATTACTATTATTATTCATAGAGTTATATAATCATCATCACACTCTAACTTTAGAACAGTTTCACCTCCCCTACAGCTAACACTCTACTCATTAAGTGTCACTCCCTACTCTCTTTATCCCTAACCCCTGTCCTAACCAACCACTAATCTGCCTGGCTCTTCAGATTTGCCTGTTATGGACAATTGACTTTTAATTGCCATCATAGCCTGTGTCACTAAATGTATTGTATTTTATTTTTAACATTATCACAACAACAGTACAATACAATACAATACAATACAACCCACAGAAACTTCGATGAATATCAGAAATATTCTGGCATGATAACCGTCAAATGTATTGTTGAAATCAGCAGTATCTGAGTGAGTTAAATGATTGCCAGTGAAGCTGTAGGAATGATAGATTATTATAGTGCTTTAGAGAGTCAAATTTTGCTAATTATATTAATAAACATAAAACTCACTTGGCTTACAGAAAATCTTTTTTATCATAAGAACCAGAAATACTTACAAATTCACATCCTTACTTCACTGCTAACCATCAGTGTGACTAGACAAGAGACTGGTAAGCTTCAGTTTCCTCATCTGTAGGATGTATAACCTCATGAAGTTAGTGAGGAAAAGTGTAAACTTTTCAAACCAAGTCTTGTGCATAATAAGTGCTCAATAAACATTAGTTATTGTCTTGTCACTCTTGTTCATAGAACTCATTCAGGACAAATTCCAAAATGAAATTCCAACTTGCAGTTTACTATATATGATTGACATTTTCAAGATCTCTATTCAAAAAAAGTTTCCTTCCATTAAAAGAAATGGATCAGGCTTTAAGATACTATCATGTAGAGAGAAAAAAAAATTGCATTGATTGATCAAGTATGATTCATAAAACCATCAGTTAGCCTTTAATTAGTTTGTAGTCATATGTTCTATAAATAGTAAAAGTGAAACTTTAGTATCCTCACTTAACAGTCATGTAACGCCACATTCAGCAACTAAAAGTTTATATAATGACAATATGTGATTCCTAAATCGGTGAGTGTGACCTGAGCTGTGTTTCGATGTTATGTTCATAAATATTAGGCATTATCCTTTACTTCAATGCAAAATAATTTTGGTTAATAAGATTATGGAGTTAGATAACTGTATGCTTGAGAAATTATCATGTATTTTCTGTTCTCTTCAAAATTGTGGTACTAAATATGATGTCCCAATGAGATGACACAACATTTTCATACTTGGGAAATGTTAACACATTACAGTTCTTGCTTTGAACAGACATAAGAATTCATATCACAGACAACATATGTTTCATTTTCTTTTGAACCCCTGAGACAATTTAAATGGTATGGTTTGCATGCGGCCCCATTTTAGACCTCAGCACCTCCACATTCATTGTCTGTGTCCACATTGTCACCCCAGGCTTTTCTCCTCTGGCATTGTTTTGTATTTGCATGAAAGTGTATAAATTTCTCTTGCATGAAAAGTCATCTGTAATGTTAAAGTTAAATGTCTAACATCTTGCAATATCATGTCATTAAGTTTTACATACTTTTTTCTTTTCTGTTCAGTTATTGAAGTTTAAATATGCTTGAAATGTAAAAGTGGCATGAAACTGGAGTGATGCAAGAATATTTAATGTTGTTTTAAGGACTTAGCATATTTTCTACCTGGGAAAATTTGGCGGGAGTTCCCAGCCTTGTCTTTGAACACTATTCCTCAATAATACATCATGACTTCTATTCAACATAAAATTACATTGAACTTAAGTGCTGTCAGCAGAATAATAAATTCTGAAGTGATACTTCTTTTTTTTTTCCCTATGAGACTGTATTTCTAGCACCTAAATATGAAGTATAAAATTTGTCCCCTGATTTCAGGAATTTTTAAATGTTTGATTTATTATTTTTTCTAAAATCTTGAAAAAGCATTGTTATACATGAATTTGGTTAAGTTCCTAATAATTAAAAAAATAATGAGTTAATGAATGATAGCACCAGAATTTTGGTATTTTAATGTTTCCTGAATGACTAGTAAAATTTGATAGAGGAATATATAAGTATACAAAAAATAATAACTTATTTATGCCATTTGGTCAAGCTTCAAATTCAAAAGGGCACATAACTAATTCCCATAATGGGTCAAAGTACAGACACCCAATAAGTGCTTTGCCCTTCAAGAATCACCTTGCTGGCTCTACAGTTATTCCTACCAGCTGCTATTACTATATTTGACCCTTTTGTCAAGTTACCTTCAGAGTATTTGACATACTCATTTTAATGCCTATGTGGTAACAGATCTTATTCTTTGGAGGGTGACTCTTAGATCCAAATCAGTCAAATAAAAATGGTAAGCTAATGAAATAATTTTTACATGATATTTGTATAAAAATTAATAAGATCTGCTGGTCTGTAGGTTATGAAATGACTGAACACATTTCCCAAAGAACCCCACAAAGTATTTACATAATAATAGCATTGATGAGAACAAATGGAATTTTCTTAAGGAGTCTTCTAGGGAAGCATACAATACTCATTTGAATGAATTGGCTCACATGCCTATTATATTACATACCTCTGTCGTTTTCAATTCAGTCTCATTTGAGCTGATACAATAGTTTACATTTTTAAGAACAGTCCTTATTATTTTTTTTCAACATGTCAGAATACAGATGAGTGTCTATTATTTCTCCCTTGCTTGAGAAAATATCTAGTTAATACCTCTTTAGCAGTAACTTTAACAATTGTGGTTGATGGTTTCTCAGTTGTCATCAGTTGGCTCTGTGATATCAGCAAAGGCTTCAACCTCTCTGTGCCTCTGACCTCTTAACCTACAAAATGAGGTCTTGAGACTAAATGATCTTTAAAACCCTTTTTGAGTAAAAATGTTCTGCTATAACAAGCATACATCTTCATGTAATGTTATAATTTCCATAGATCATAAATCTGTACACTTCTCTGTGAGGTGTTAATAAAATCCAGCTGAATGAATTCAAGTTATTTAAAAAGACACCCAGACATTGAGGAAATAATTTCTCTAGTAAAGGCTACCTAATCTTGTTTATATAGCACTGCCTTACATGGGTCTCACAACCTACAAGTTGCAACTGTCATCACCACCATACAGATGAAGAAGGTGCTGACCTTCAGAGAGACTCAGTTACGTCTCTAAGCCTGTGCACTGGGCCAGCAAGTAGTAGACCAGGACAGAGATTATGGGTCTCCTGCTTCCTGTTTAAAATGCTTTTCCACCTCATCAGTTACCTGTGCCAGTTTTTGAATTAGGTGACAATTTTCGCAAGGTGTCATTGTTCAGTATTCACACTCCTTAAAACTAAAATCTGCCTTTAGGGCCTCTGGCACCTCTGTACAATACCCACTTGCGTCACTACAGCTCTGTCTGCTTTTACAAGCTAGTTGTCTTGTCAGCATGAGTGTGACAACAATTAGACGTCCCCTGTTTTTGCCCCATGCCTTTTCTCCTTCACAGTCATTCAATGACAAGCGTAAAAAGAGCTTCATCTTTTCACGAAAATTCCCATTCTACAAGAACAAGGAGCAGAGTGAGCAGGAAACCAGTGATCCTGAACGTAAGTAGCTTCTCGAAGAGAATGTCACATGCAACACAGAGAAAAAATTTCACACCAACACTCATGAGGTAGGCACCCCATGTCACACGCCTAGGCAAACCAACACATGAGGCAGGCAGGTCAGGGCTTACTACTGTGACCAGTGCTTGGCTGCAGTCTGGATCCTTCCCTTGATGTGGCTCTTCTTTTCAGAATGCATTGGAGAGGGACTTCAGGAAGCTGGGGTGACACTTTCCCCCAGCATTTACCTGTGACCAGGATTGGGTCTGGTTTGCCTTTTCTGTTATGCAACTCTCTAGGGCTTGAGACAAAAACATTGGCTTCCACTGCCACATATATCTCTTATGGAACTAACTGGGAGTGGTTAAGTTACCTCCATTGATCACTAACACATTTGATCACTTTTTCCCTCCCACAATTATGCATTGAGCGGTATGCCTGTACTGGCGGATGCTAAATCTAAAAATTCATCATAAAACTCAAAAGGATCATTGTTCTCATTAGCACGTTTCTGTGGCAATATTGACAGTACGCAAAAATGGCATTTGCCAAATCTTTCTTTTTTAGTAACAATCTTCCACTTAAAAAAAATTGCTTTGTTTTATAAATCCTGTCTCAGCCCAAGGAGATGGGGGAATGAAAGTTTTTTTCAAAAGAGAGTGGGATCCAGATTGCTGAGGCAACACGGTCTTGTCATGGTAGTATCCATTTCAACTCCACTGACTTCTTCCTTCCTCTTCCGTGGCTGTTCTTCCTCTCTCATTGCTCTCTCTGGGGACTTCCATGCAGGACATCCCCGGATTAGGTGACGACGGTTATGGAACAAAGACTCTGAGTAAGTTCCCAGGAATGGTCACTGTAACTTTTCTTTACTTTTCCTTTCTTTTTAAGTTTGGCTTTTGTTCCTTTCTTGAGGGCCTTTCACTCCTAGCATGCACAAGATCCAAGTTTTATTTGTTACCTAGCTGTGAATGCTCCTACAAAGTAATTTTCAACTGTTTTGTTCTGCATGTCAGCATTTAAAAGCAAAGTGTGTCAGGCACTGTAGCTTCTGTTGCAGTTCACACCCTCCCTTTCTGACCATATCATATGAACAACATGGTCCTGATGTCAGGCATGGCGTAATTTGCTCTGCCATCCGCTCCCCCTAGAGAGCAAAACCATGTTGAAAGAAAGGGTGAGTTAAGTGTCTGATAGCAGCAAAGCAGAAAGGTACTTTCTGTCCTTTCTTCTGCCTTTTCACCAAGAAATGTTTAATAGCGTTACCATATTCCACCATTGGTTTGTAGTCTGCTATTAATAAAGGAGCCATTTTATATTCAAAAAGGAACATTCATTCTCAAAAAAATGAATATTAAACTATTTGACCTTCCATAAATAATTCTTTGTTTTTAACTTCAATGATTTTTTTTTTCTTACTTGTAGTGATCCTGTTTGAAAGCTTGTTGTAGGTGATATTAGTATGTTTTTCTATCAGTAGTCTATTGGCGGTATTACATCAGGTCTTCATTTTTATAGTTGTAGAGTAGAAAATGAAATACACTGAAGGCTTAAATTACCTACTTATTTATGCCCTTAGTTTGTGTTTTATTGCACTGAGCAATTAAGAATAATCCTGAATATGAATATACTACAGTATGATTTTTCTCTTTCATACCAATTCCATCGTGTAAGCTCCAGTGAAATAAGAACAGAGTTTTGTGTCTTTTACAACTCTATCGCATACTCATTTTTTGTTTGTATTATTTTGTTTGAATTCAAAGCTATGGGCAATATTTCTAGAAGCTGTTCATTTCACTTGTATACAACAGAATAGCACTGAGCTGAACTTTGTTCTCAAGACTTGTTTATATAACCTTGTATAATGACACTCTTCATCCTTCAAATTGTTAATCTGTGTTTTTTTTTTAGATTATGTATACACAGAAAACAAAATCTGATCAAGAGTAACTGCCAATTGCCTTAAAGATGAAAACTTTATCTTTGAGTCTCTATGAAATATACCATGAAGTTTTTCTTGAACTAGTGATTGATGCTTAATTAGTAATTTCAACATTATCTGGACAGAATTGAGATAAACGAGTTTCTAAATTTTCAACTGGGAATAAAGTATTCTATATTGTTAACAAATGAGCATCACTAAAAGTAGTTGCTATTGGAACAGCAAAAATATGAGATAATCTCTAAAATCCAAAATTTTCAAATGTTTACTCATCAAAAATTATATGGATTCCCTTAGGTAAAGTTATTTGCCAATTAATACTATTGTTAGCCAGAATTTGGACTTTAGCTGGAACATGTTTTCAATTTCTCATTATTTACAACCAATAAGTTCTGTTATAGAGCACCTTGATGCTAAGTGAGATTGTCCCACAAAACATGGATCTAAATTTCTCCATGTTCGCTGTTTGATCCAAATCTTTCCCACCACCCCTTTACACTAATAGAATGTCTGCCTGAGTTAGCCATGCAGTTCTGGTTTTAGGCTAATCAAAGAGAATTGCTATTTGAATGTTAGCCATGTTTTAGTGTTCATTAGGATCATGCTATAATGCTAATACAATTAAGTAAGTAAGTAAGTAAGTTGTGGGACTCCATTCACAATGTATATAAAAATCAAGCCATCAAGTTGCACAAATTCAATAAGTCACAATTTTATCTGTTAGTTATACCTCAGTAAAGCTAAAAAAAATTAAAATAAAATTCACAAGGTAACAAGAGTCTATAGTATAAAATACATTTTAAAATAATACTTTGTTATTTCAGAACATATATTCTTTTCCTTTTTCTAAAAATGTATAATAGTGTCACTTTTTTAAAAACTTACATTATTCCTTACGAGTTTCAGAAATGAAATAGCCATATATTCTTCACTTAATTAACCTGATATACAAAGCAGTTGATAAATTGATGAATTTGCTTTTTATACCTTAATAAATAGTATAGATAAAAGGAAATGAGTTTGGAAACAGAAGCTCTAAATATGGCCCAAGCCAATATATTATTGTTATGCAACTAAACTATGTTCTTATGAACAGTTTGAATTACTACTATACAAGTCTTTCAACATGAATTAAAAATATACTTTGTGACAGGACCTGTGCTTCACATCAGATTTCTCTCCTGCTCCAGAACCAACAACATCCAAACAAGAATCTTAATATATGAATAAGGAAACACTGACCTGATTCAAAAGCATTTTTCAATGACTAATGTCTTTCCTAACTCACTTCCAGAAGAAGAAAAGATCTCCAAAGTCCCTTTAAATCCTAAGAATTAGCTTAGAAAATATGAAACTAGAAGTAGAATTCAGTGGATTCCAGGGACTAGTTAGAAATTTGAAATCAATATTCCTGATAAAAATCAAATGGCCAAATAGAAAAATAGTGTCTACCTACTAGAAGATCCAAACAATATGTTCCTGTAGAAACACACTGGTTTCTGTGACACTGCTCCAGAAAAGCAGATCAATAGTTGACCCATTTGGATCAAAATATTTATAAAAGGAAAAGGCAATAAGCAGTTTTTGTAATTAAAGGTACTTTTCTGTTTGCTCAAAAGATTCATAGCAATCAAGAAGTAGCCTCCTGTTAAATGAAGATAAAGTTTTCATCTTATCTGAATTTTCTTAATGTGATCTCTTCTGCGGCTTTTACTTGCCTTTCGCTCACATTTCTAGTAGCCTTGCATGAATGTATTCCTTAAGTTCTGGCTGCTCTTTGATGCTTGGTATCTCTTTTAATTTGCTGTGCTGTTCTTGCAGAACATGTCTCTTCTAATGCCAGCGATAGTGAAAGTAGCTACCGTAAGTTATTGCTTTGGTTTGTGGTTCTTTTCTTTGCAATTGCTCATTGCCTGTGATGGTCATTTCAGAAGTTACTGTTGTTTTCAATTGCTGCCCTTTATCATCTTCATCCAAAGCAAATGGCTTGAAATGAAATCATCGTTTGATACAGGAGGATACAAAAGATGTGAGGCAAACCCTTGATTGATTTGTGGAAAGCTTAGCAGTCTTGCTAACAAACATTCCCTCCTCATTGGATGCAGTTCTCCCAGAAAAGATAGTTTTTGACAGTCTGCCTCCCAAAATTATTTCAAGTTTGTCCTTGCCAGGAATTGAGAAATTATTTATGTTTTATTTTTCTTCTCATTTTACCTTTTCTTTTCCATTGCTGACTCCTGAATACAGGAGAAATCTTCACTAGTTAGTGTTCCTTTTAAATTGAGCATGACCCTTTTATATCTCTTCTACCTGACTAATATTTTAAGGTAAATACTATGATTTATCTAATTTTGTATTTTTGATGGTTGGGTAGTGATGAAAATGTTTCATCCTCTAATGTTGAAGGAACTCACATTAGTTTTAAAGTGAACAACTCTTGGATCAGAAAACTTAACTGAAAAGGTAGGTAAAAACCTTAAAATATTTCTGATCTTGGTTTTGTCACCTCAAGCCATTTGCTTAGCATATTAAAATATTCACCAAGCACATTCTTTTGATCTGTTCTCGTGGTTTCTTACCACTATTATTACTGGGATCCCCGCAATTTCTTTAATATTTATTTGCAGTCCTTAGATAAATGGGTTACTCAAAAAGCCAATTAGAAAACTGTAGGTCCAGAACATATCATCCACAGTCCTCAAGAGAGAAATTGGTGGGGTTCTCTTTCTCTCTTGAATGCTGTATTAATTTAAAACTAGAATAGTTCATACTTGTTTTCAGTTTTGTTTTTCCATTACAACATGGTACTTTTTAAAACCTTGTTTATTTTGAGGTAGAGTGACAAATAGTGTTCTTGGAGTATGACAAATTTGGAGTATTCAATTTGGATTTTGAGAAAAACGCTGGTGAATCAGATCAGTGGCAAATAGAAAAAAAAAGGACAAAGAGGAAAAACGGCAGATGGAGTGGGGGGGCAGAGAAGAAGATGAAATATTGCAGAGCAAGATGAAAAAACTATATATTAATGAGATCTCTTCATTAATCAAATAACATTAGCACCACCTAATTTTTTTCCTCAACATAATAATTACAATGAAAGTAACCAAAAATATTCTTATTCTCAACATGACCCTTAATATATTTATATTATTTTTACTTACAAATTTGTGATTACCCCAACTTGGGAAAATATTTGCCTTCTATCCCTCTTCATTTTATTTTGAAAAAGAGAAAGCCAGCCCATAAGAAGTGACCAACCATAGATTTATCTTCCTTTTTCCTGAGGTGCCTCAATTTATTATAAGAAAAAAGTGTGACTTGTTTATTGGATTTCATAAAGAACAATAGTCCTAGTTTCTTTTTCAGTTTTCTACTTTTAAGTTTCCTTAGAGGAGACATAGGTTAGAAGGAGGAAACATAATACATCATACCTTGTTCCTTCAATCCTAAGGATAGCACACATAAGCACTCTCTTCCTTTGAAAATTTTTTTAAAGTATTTAGAGATATCTCTTCTCTCTTTCAGAGGTGGAAATGTTTTGTTACAAAACAGAATTGTTACAAAAATTGAGTCAGATTTTTCAGTTGTTTAACTTATCTACCAGTAATACTACAAGATGCCATCAATAATACTTTGATTCTTTTACTGATGTCCAAGTATTTTACTTTTATTCTTGCAATCATTCCATGTCCATCTCTGGAGACTAACTGCCTAAGAAAATAAATGGCCAACAGTTAGAAATATGTTTAAATAGCAGGTAAACATAAATGTCTATTGAGTGAATAAAGGAAACATGATCAGCTTGACTTATCTATGAAAAGAGTAGGAACTGGACTCTATAATATTTTATCAGAGATAAGAAGGTTAAAAAATTATATTTCTTCCTCTAGGAA